CAGGAATTCCCCTCATTGCAAAAGAGCAGTTTCATGACAAGAGCAGTGACTTAGCAGAGACAGACAGTAACGACGCTGCCGTGTTTCCATAAAGGAAATGGAAATGGCACATGTGGAATCTACATTTGCAATATCATGTTTACATGTGCTAAAGTCTCTGACAAAAGTAGTTAAAAAGTTGCCATATGGAATTTTCTGCTGACTGATACATGTATATTGCATCATAATGAGGTGTGGTGTTAAAACCATGAATACAGTTGTTCCACTCCCCACACTACTTCCATCTATCGCTTACTGTAAAATGAAGTCATTGACCATTTCACACCCTCCTTACTGAAACACGTAGTTTCATTGATGGCTCAGTATTTAAGTTGCTTGCATGTGCGGATATGATGGTTGTTTTTCATTATTTTCATTTTGTATCTAAAGGAAACATCAGATCAGTAACCAATGTTGTGATGGAAATAATTTATTTATGATGAAATGAGAACTATTGGCATTTGGTAACCTGCAACTGTTACATTAAATGGTTGGTTCATCCAAAACAAACATTTTGTGATCATGTATGCACCCTCAGGTTGTTACAAATTTACTTCAATCTGTGGAACACAAAAGAAGATATTTTGACAAATCTGTCAGTGTTTATTTGTTCACACAATATAAGTCAATGGGGTCCAATGTTGTTCTGGAACCACTGACTTTGAAAGTCAAAAACAGTCTAGAAAGTATTGTGAAAGAAATTCTTACAGGCTTGGAATGACACAAGGGTGAGTAAATGATGACTGAATTTTCATTTTGGGATGAATTATTCATTTTAGGAGCTATTTCTACCTGATCCAGGCCTTAAATTTGGATTTGTTAGTCTAAGTTATTGTATTAATGTACTATCTTTGACAAATAAAATTAGGTACTTTAGACGTTAACCCATGAAGCACATTTTTTGTTCCCAGTGTACATTAACCCCCTAATATGAAGGAACAGTGTACATTAACTGTGGCATTTGGTAACCTGCAACTGTTACATTAAATGGTTGGTTCATCCAAAACAAACATTTTGTGATCATGTATGCACCCTCAGGTTGTTACAAATTTACTTCAATCTGTGGAACACAAAAGAAGATATTTTGACAAATCTGTCAGTGTTTATTTGTTCACACAATATAAGTCAATGGGGTCCAATGTTGTTCTGGAACCACTGACTTTGAAAGTCAAAAACAGTCTAGAAAGTATTGTGAAAGAAATTCTTACAGGCTTGGAATGACACAAGGGTGAGTAAATGATGACTGAATTTTCATTTTGGGATGAATTATTCATTTTAGGAGCTATTTCTACCTGATCCAGGCCTTAAATTTGGATTTGTTAGTCTAAGTTATTGTATTAATGTACTATCTTTGACAAATACAATTAGGTACTTTAGACGTTAACCCATGAAGCACATTTTTTGTTCCCAGTGTACATTAACCCCCTAATATGAAGGAACAGTGTACATTAACCCCCCTAATATGAAAAAAAAGCTGTTTATGCACTGCTCCAAATGATGACTTGGAAAATATTCAGTATTTTTTTCTACAAAAAATATGCCAAGCTGAAAGATGCTGAGTAAATTCAGGATGGAAGATGATATAAAACGAAACCACCTTATTTATAAAGATATTTTCACATCTCTAAATCATTTGTAGATCGTTCCTTAAAAAAAAGGACACATGCTAAGAAGAAGTGAGGATAGGGTCAAGCCATCCATGTTTGGGTTGCAACCGATTGTAGATGATCCGTGATCCATACGGATCAGGCTGCACGGTTCGGCACGCATGTGATTCGCGGATTAACAGTTAAGTTTAACCATCATAGAGTTAAAGTTTATCATTTGCAGTTTTCCCCTTTTAGGGGAAGTTGTGGCCTAATGGTTAGAGAGTCGGACTCATAACCCAAAGGTTGCGGGTTCGAGTCTCGTACCGGCAGGGATTGTAGGTGGGGGGAGTGAATGTACAGTGCTCTCTCCCACCTTCAATACCATGACCGAGGTGCCCTTGAGCAAGGCACCGACCCCCCAACTGCTCCCCGGGCGCAGCAGCAAAAAAAATGGCTGCCCACTGCTCCGGGTGTGTGTGTTCACTGCTGTGTGTGCACTTTGGATGGGTTAAATGCAGAGCACTAATTCTGAGTATGGGTCACCATACTTGGCCACATGTCACTTCACACTTTTTTTTTTTTTAAACTCGCGCGCTGTTTTCTGTGCGCCCAGCCGCTGCCGCACACGCACAGAGAGAGACACCGCGTTAACACCGAATTGATTCCTCTTTCACACACACACAAAGTTATGCTAAAATACCCGTTTTGACAAGTATTCTAGTAAACAGTCGGTTACGGTTATGTCTTAAGTGAACGTAAACAGCTGAGAAAACAAACCGGATGTGTGTCAGCATTAGGGCCGTGCATTTGGTCTTAAAGAGACAGTAGCCAATAAATACCTGTTTCTGTCTGCTAATCAAATAACACCACAGCTCTAACAAAGATTAATCTGTATTTAACCTGTGCAGTGAGCACTATTGTGTTATTTTACACTTAATTATTAAATTTCTGCACCTGAATGCTACTGTTACTGACTTTATTTGTAATTATGGTTTGTTTTGTTTTGTAGGCTTGTAATTTGTGTAATTGTTCTTGTTTTATTACTAATTTTATTAGTTAAGCTAGTAGTTTTTGCTGTGGTATAGAAGTACTTAAAGTAAGCTTTCACTAATAATTTTTTTTTATCCGAAAAATGATCAGATCCGTGACTCAAAATCCGTAATATGATCCGAACCGTGAGTTTTGTGATCTGTTGCACCACTATGTGCAATGACTTAAAAGCTGACAGCCACAATAACTGAATCTACTTTCAGAGCAAATCCTTCTGCTGGTGGGATAAGTTGCAATTGACATTTTGCACAGACTTCAGAAACAGACCTGGCTTTCATGCTGCTGTTTGAACACAGGGGAAATTGGCTGCAAAGGTCACTGAGCCCATTTCCTCTCCCCCTTGCTTACAGAGACTCAGACCTTTACAGCACCCACTGCTTTTTACCTGCACTGTATTTTAATAGTTACCATTCTCAAATGCTTAATGTGTGCATGTGTTCTCCTTAGGTGAGGGTTATCAGAGGTCAGCGTTCTATGTATTTTCCTCCTCCATGTACAGTCTCTGGTGTGATGATGCCTTCCCAAAAACTTGTGTTACAGCTGAGACGCATGACTAAGAAGAAAGCGATGATTGCTGAAATGAGCAGAAGTGGACCTTGCCTTTATTTCCTGTAAACTGCTTGTGCAAAATCAGTGAGATTAATGCGGTGGCGGAAGTTCTAGTTATTGCAATCTTTTTTAAACTTACAGTTGTCAGGCCATAGAAGAACTTATATAAAGTATCCTCTTTTAAAATCCTTTCATGAGTTGTTACAATGAGTTGTTAAAATCCTATTCTTAGTGAGAATTCATGTTAAATATGTCAGTTTACTTTATTTACCCAGTTGATATTTTATTTTAATGGTTAATATTTTAACTGTTATTATTTCTAATTATATATTTTTCAATTACACAGCATTCTTTGGAAATGCAGTTTACTTAATTCTTGTCTTAATGTCAGTGTACTTAATTCTTGTCAGTATCTTAATTTCAAAAGAACACTGTTGAAATTAAATAAAAGGGGAACACTGGAAGTGTTTGGATGACTTTACAAATGTTATGGAAATTAAAAGATGTAAGTTAATAGATGAAAAAATGAAGTTTAGAGGAGTGATTGAAAGCAAATTCATACATTATAGAATTTTTTTAATGTATGAATTCATTATTACATTTACATAGTATATTACATTGAGGAAATGCAGTTGTTGTTTGTGTGTGTGTGTATTTTACGTTTGATGTGAATGGAGGGGAATCAGAAAGCAGACAGTTTGGAAAACCAAGTTGCAGTTGATATTTACTTATGTATAAATCAGAGATTAATTCAATAACTTAATATACTTCAATAATAATAAAAAATTGCAGTATTATTGGAATACAGAAAAAATGGTGGACATCTATATTCAATACAGCCAACAGTGGATAAATGAAGCCTCATGATAAGATCAAAGAGAAGAAAATAAGTACAGCTAAACTATAAAGGTTCTAAACAGCACCAGATTCTTCAGCTTGTAACAATAGCAGAACTGTTTGCTAAACAGAACCCTTTAGGTTCCATAAAAAACCATGTGTACAATAAAACCTTATTGTCTGAATACATTAATTAATTATAATTGACACTGAACATGAATGAATTCATAAAGAAATAAAACATAAAATACAAACACAAAATAGATGCGATGAAGGCCAAATTCCATCATTGTGTGTATTTTGAAAGTGAGTGGCAGTTTCACTGTGCAAATGATGTACACAAATAAAGAAATATACAACTGAGTCACAGTGCATCTCATCCATTTCTTTAAGTAAAAGCAATTGAGTGTATGAAGGCCTAAATGGCCGAAATGGACAGTATGTGAGCCCTTCACAATGTTCAAAAACCCCATCATGGTACAGCTTTAGCTTTTTGTGACTGGTCATGTTTATGCATAAAACTATAACAATATGGATCAATAATGCAACATCTCTGTCACTTACTTGCTTGGTGGAGAAGAGGAGAGGAGTATTCGCACCCGAGCTGGTCACACTTACATGTTCTGTTGAAAACAACTGAAAAGAAAAAGAAAGACAAGAAACCAGTAACAATCTGAAACCTGTTGAGAGTGTGACAGGATAGATGGTTGAGCTCCAGAGAGTCAGCAAAACTGCTACAGTTCCTAAAGTTAAATATTTGAATTGGACAGCTTTATATGGAGAATGAAGAATCTATATAATTGTGAATTTTATCATATAGTTTTTCTTCGCTCTGGACTCAAAGTGGATGCAGACGGAGCTGAGGACCAGTCTCTGGAGGGCGGAAGTACTTGAAACAGTAGGAGGCGCTATTGTAGTTTGCGATCCGCTATTCAAAACACTAAAGAAGAAGACGGGGAGGACGGGAAGTCTGTTGTAGTTGACGGTAGTTTCTAAACAGTTTGCGGTCATGCCAGGTGTGGAAATGGTATGTTTCTCGAGGATGAATTGTGCTTAAGCGCTTTTGTTTTGAGACGAATAACCCGCGAGGTGCTATGATGCTACAAACACACACACTGGAGGTGGGATGCAACCGTCTTTAAAAATACATTGAGATGAAAAAAGCGACAGTCGGTGTTATTTTCCCATCAAGTACCATTAAATTACACTATATATTAAGATAGTTTACTTGTATTAACTGGTTAATGGTGGTCTTCCAGTCTGTCTTCAACCGAAAAGTTCCCAAAACCCATTTTAAACCATTCTGAGCAGGCCGGGAGACCATCTAAGACTGGTTTAAGATGTCTTAGTTGCAGAATTAAGCTTTAAGTCTTATTGACAAATGCCAGGAAACAACCCGGAAAGACTGCTGTGTCTTGCGAGCAATCAGAAACGCATCGTAATGTCTGTCATTGTTTCTCTTCCCACAGTTTTCACATTGGATCTACTGATTAGCCACACCGAGCAATGGCCTTTACATTTTCAAGAGGACCGCCAAACAGGAGCAGAATTCAAGAGCATGATCTTAAGACACATGTCATGATGTGACAGCCTTCCTGCATGGTACTGGTGCTTATTTTATCCGTGTTAAGATGCCCCGACTAGAGGAAGTAGCTAATGTTGTCCTCAGGGTGCCCAGTATCTTGGTGTTGGACATGCTGTATAAATGTGACATTGACAGCTTCACGGATCATCTGAAAGCGAGGACAGAAGACATGCTCTTCAAGTACAAATATGTCATCTGGAACATGTATTACTTGGGTAAATATTATGTGATCACCATGAGTCATTATATTGTAGTGTTGGCTAACTATGTAATATGTGACATTGTTGTTGGTGTGTCCTGCAGGTCACATAGTGAGCGCCATGGTGCTGCTGTTGCCTCTTGGGCATATTATCCAGCTGTACCTGCATGTTCTCTGTGCCCTGCTACTTTACATGGGTCATCAGATTGTCAGGTGAAAATAACAATGTTTTTTGGGTTCTTGCATTTTTTTTTTTTTAATATGTGTTATCGGATTGTTGGTAGGTTTTTCAAAGGGTTTTGTTGTGTTAACAGAGATTATGTAAGAGATGAAGCTCAGTACGGGTATGATGGTGCGCTCTTTCTGGATCCTCCGGCATTGAACCGTTTCGTGACTGCGCTCACCAGTAAGTTACAAGTTCCACAACCCTTATAGGGATGCCAAAAGTACTTAGACCTTTAAGGTATTAAGCTTTCGGCAAACATATAGCTTACTAGGTTTTTTGCTAAACATATTCCACAAAGTCTGACAATAAAGACTTTCTGTTTTTGTCTTAATTTTAAACAGGATCACTATTGTTTTGTATGAAACCTTGAAAACTAACAAACTTAATCTTGTGAAATGTTTTATTTCATTAAGTGCTTTCATATCAGTAGTATTCTGAAATGAGGAGTCCTCGGTTTTTTTTTTTTATATAAATCAAATTTAAATTTATGTCCCAGTTAATCACTGGTAAACTGAAGCGCTCTTTTAACTTAACCAAACGCATTCTATATGAGATAAATCAGATATACATCAAATAAACACAATATTACAACGTACAATTGCACAAAAGGCTGCAAACGAACAGCGCGCATCTGAAGTGTCTCTGAAGGAAATAATGCATTATTTATCGGCTTTAAGATATCGGCCAAATTTTCTTATTGGGCCGATACCGATAACAGAAAAAATGAGCATTTATCGGCCGATATCGATATGGTGGCCGATATATCGTGCATCCCTAGTCCCAGTTAAACATTTCTTACACTATCAGAATTTTTTTTGTCTCTTCTCACGTGACTTTGCCCCATTCATTCTCAGTTAACCCCCCACCAAACTCACCTCATGCTTTAGGGGGTCTGTTAAAACTCAGTGGGCTCAGGGGAGACGAGAGAGACGCGGACTCACACTGTAACTTTACCTGCTGGTGTCGAACAAGTGATTTACACACACATATATATATATATATATATTTATATATGTGTTTCCCACTTAAAGAACTTGATTAGCAATTCAAATATTATATATAAATTGTAAAGTGTACTTGGAAAGAGTACTACCTTTCCTTAAAATTATAACTTAAGTGCTTAAGAGAGGGTGCAAGAAAAAGTGTGTTGTCTGTCATGCAATTTTTTAATGGTTTGTGCAATGGCACAAATCCTAATTATGACAAGTCCTGATTATGTGCATATCAGTCCAGATTATGACTCTATTTTACAATATATGTATATGTGTGTATTAGGGCTGCACGATAAATCGCATGCGATATTTAACGCACATTTTGTCAGTAAAGCCGGCTCTGTAATCAGCCGTTCACATGGAGAAGCATTTACAGAGTCGTTGTTCACTGACAAGCTGCGCAAAAAGATCATATTTTGCGCATGTTTAGCGCAGCTTGTCAGTGAACAATGGCTCTGCGTAGTTAATGCTGCTCAATGTGAAAGCCTGCACGTGATGGAAATGTACGGCTGATTACAGAACGACTTTACTGACAAGATGCGAGTTAAATATCGCATGCGATTTATCGTGCAGCCCTAGTGTGTGTGTGTGATCATCTGCAGGTCAGATAATAGTCAGTACGCTGTGTGCGTTCCTCATGCGGACTCAACACGTGTGGCTGTTCTCAGCGCACTTGCTCCCTCTTCTGGCGCGTGTGGTATCTGTTCGTTTAGACTGGCTCCTCTCACTCTCCTCTGTGGCCATGATGATCACAGGGGCCGAGGTTGCCGTCTTCCTCCTCGCTAACTTCTTTGTGCCGTACAGACTGGCCAGAGCCGCTTACAGAGAGATAATGGCGATAGAGGTAAAACACAAGCACATACTGACACCCTTGCATCTCTACACATGCATCACCTCAGTTCTTCTTTTCTCAATCTCTGTTGTTTCTGTAGGTGACTGAGTTGCTCAGACTGATGGCAGTTGGAGTATCTGTCTGGCATGGCTTTGCTGTGCCTGTATTGTTTAGTGTTTTCTGGTATGTGCTGTTCGGAGTGCAACTTGTTACCAATTATGGCACTGTCACTGCTGTCCAACAGGGTCCGCTACTCTACCTCCTCACCAGGTAAATGGCAGGGTATTCAATCTCACTGAATGGCCGTATCAAATGTGAATTGTATCTAAAGTACATGTGTTTTTCAGTGTGTCTGAATGCTGTGCTAGCCCATACTCCCTGCTTGGCTTAACATTTGTGGTGTCTTACACGGCTCTGGGACTTCTGAGTCTCTGTAAGGTCTACCTTGGAGGATTCAGTGCTCTCCAGAACCATAATGTCATGCACAGGTAAGAGCAGATGGTGTATGTTTACTGTGTGCATGTGTTTGTTCAGTTCAAACATTCATGTTTTTATATGTTGTAGGGGTGTGACGGAGGGAGTGACTCTGCTGCTGCTGGCCCTGCAGACTGGGTTGTTGGACATGGCATCTCTACAGCGTTGCTTTCTGCTCTTTATCATCCTCTTCATCGTTCTCACATCTACACTACAAAGCATGAGTGAGATCACAGAGCCTGTTGTGTTGGGGCTCGGAGCTAGTAGAAACAGGTATGTGGTTCCATTTACAACCTGAAGAAATGACAATATTAATGACGGATTGGAGGTATGACATTGTGTATACCTGGTGTACATGCAAGAAATGTTATGCCATACCATGGAAATGTGTTTGTGAAATATGTTTGTTCTGTTATTGTTTTGTTACAACAGCTGTTTTTGTTCAGCTGTCTGAATCAGTTTTCGCTGATGCTAGGCTTATTCATCTATGTGTACCAAATTCCAAATAAATCAAATAATGAATTTAATTCACTGTCTAATTAATGTATTTATTTCACTGACTTTTATACATACATATGTACATGTGTTCAAAAGTTTGGGGTCAATATTTAGTTTTTGAACGAAGTCTCTTATGCTCACTAAGGCTATATTTAAAATAGAATATATTCTTGTGATGACAGAGCTGAACACCAGACGTTTGATCAATTTTATACTTTTTTTTTTCAGGATTTTTTTATTCTTTTGCAACATAATTATTATTAAACAATTGTAAATTCACTGTCTAATTAATGTATTTATTTCACTGACTTTTATACATACATATGTACATGTGTTCAAAAGTTTGGGGTCAATATTTAGTTTTTGAACGAAGTCTCTTATGCTCACTAAGGCTATATTTAAAATAGAATATATTCTTGTGATGACAGAGCTGAACACCAGACGTTTGATCAATTTTATACTTTTTTTTTCAGGATTTTTTTATTCTTTTGCAACATAATTATTATTAAACAATTGTAATCTCTCTCTCTCTCTCTCTCTCTCTTTCTCTCTCTCTCTCTATATATATATATACAATTTAGAATTTATTCTTTTATTTATTTATTTTAAATGTGGACATGAAAACAATTGAGTTACCTTGAGTTATTTTGGGCATTAACATGTTCAATCTGAGAGTTTAACATTGTGTTTTTTTGTGATTTTTTTCTTTTTTCATGCTTGAGCAAATTGAAATTTTTTCTTTCTGTATCCACAGAAGTGTGTTAAAGCACTTGCGTGGTTTATCTATGTGTGGATTTCTGATGGTGTTTCCGGGATTCATGGCCTACAAGATCTCCCAGATTTTCAGCATGGATTTCTGGCTACTGATTCTGGCCTCTAGCTGTATGCTCACCTCACTGCAGGTACACTCTGTTTTATGAACTCATTTGTTTCCTTTTTTTTTTTTTGACTGAGATCCCAGCATGCTGTGCTCCCTTTTATAGGTGACAGGCACTCTGCTGATCTACAGCCTGTTCATGGTGGAGGTCTGGCGTGGTGCTGCCCTGCCTGGATTGGATGAGATTGTTTATTACGTGAATGGAGTGTGTCGGGTGCTGGAGTTTGCAGTGGCTGTGTGTGTGGTGGCATACGGGGCGTGGGAGTCACTGTGGGGAGAGTGGAGCTGGATGGGAGCGTCGGTCATTATCATCCACTCCTACTGCAATGTGTGGCTACGTGCTCAGTCTGGCTGGAAAAGCTTCTTGCTTAGACAGGAAGCTGCTCGCAAAATCAGTGTACTTCCACGGGCCAGCACAGAGCAGCTGCAGGACCACAATGATGTCTGTGCCATCTGCTTCCAGGTCAGAACAAGCACAAAGCGAAGGTGTTCTGCATGTAATAGTTAGTGTAGCATCAAGTTTTGTCCTCTTGACCTTGACTTGCAACATATTCAAATGTGCAAGTGGAAGTTGTGAGAATGTTTTCATATTTAAAAGGGTGTATACCGTTCAGTAATTAAAAGTAATTAAAGGATTTAAAAGTAATTAGGATTTTAAAAAAAAAAAGGGTTTTGAAAGCAGTCTCTTATGCTCACCAAGACCACAATTTATTTGATCAAAAATACAGTAAAAACAGGAATAATGTGAAATATTACAATTTAAAATAAATATTTTCTATTTTAATGTATTTTAAAATGTAATTTATTCCTGTGATGAATTTTCAGCAGCCATTACTCCAGTCTTCAGTGTCACATGATCCTTCAGAAATCCTTCTAATATGCTGATTTGCTACTTATGGATTAATTCATGTCCTACATGAATTAATCCATCTCTTCATACCATCATAATGATGCCACAGCTATAGAAACCATAAATATTACACAGTAATGCAGTATAACAGGGCACTACATAACAGACAGGTATCTTATGTAGCGAGAATGAATGCCATTACTAAAGAAAGAAACCCAATTAACAATTGCGCAACACATCATCTGTAGCTGAAGCATTAACCTAACAAAATGACACAAATACAGTCCATCCGATGTTCTTACAGACATTTATTCACCCAAACGCATTTATACCTTACAGATAACATTGGTATAAAACAAATAAGGTGATTACATGTGTTTTAAAGTTGACCTAACAATT